TGGGAATTGCCATAAGTGCACTTTTACCAAGCACTTTTGATTACATTCGGAGTTTGCAAAGCAGCCATTTGAAAAAATATAGAACTTTTTCAGTTGCGCTAAGGGGTTGGCCTTCAAGAGTCCCGAGTGTACACACTTAACTACACTATTGCTATTAACAAATGAGCGTCTCACTCACAGCAACAACTATGGCCACGCCCCCGACTTGCAATCAGCTGTAAAGCTCTGTAATGGCTATCAATGAAGTCCGCAATCATGCCTCACAGGACTATTACAATTGTACTTACCATATAGAAAAACTCCACATGATGTTTGGTAGCGAAGAAAACAGCCACCTGTTGTTTGGCGGGAATGACGTTTTTCAGCNACGGGTTCTTCTGATCTGGAAGGCAGCTGATGTGAGCAAGCTGGAAGCCAGAAAACAGAATGACCCAGAGGGTTCGTGTTGTTATGATGAAAATTAAAGCTAACCGATTAACTGACAGTAAAAAAAGCGAGAAATAAATTAAAAAAAGCGGTTTTCAACGTCTTCTATTAGAGACTGTCCTATGGCATGCCCCTTGTTATTGGCTTTTAAATTCGGCATTGAACATGAAAGAGTATGAGCCTTACTTTTGACCACAAGAATCTAAAAATCGACAACTTCCATCCACAGAAAGATTACTTGACAGGATTTTTGTCTCTCACTTGGTATGTATTTTATTCTGAAAGGTCAATAGAGAGCAATTAAATGAGTCTCATGACAGAAACCAGTGGGTAAAAGCGTTCGCCTCGATTTCAATTTGCCTTGAAAAGAGACCATCGGAAGAAATGAATTAAAATCCATTGTTATTATTGTTTCAATTTCTCCTCGATATTTTGACATTCTGCGCGAAAGACTAGCTTGTTCAAACTACCTCGCCTCTAGTTAANCAAGTTACATTTCGACCACTAGACGGTGAATGCTTGGATTAGCCTATTTGGTTTTTCACAGGCACCAGGCACTATTGACGAATTCGGGTGTGGGTTTTACTCCTTAGGAGGTTGTTATTTCCCCACTATTTGAATGCATTTAAATGCGGTGGAAATATTCGCGATAATCGGCAAAGAGCACTGGACAGTTGTTTCATCCTGTTTGGGACTCGACAGCAATGCGTACTTCTGTGTCTCTGTCAGGATTTAAACCGCGAATCTTCGGGTTGGGACCTCAAACCCTCACTCCTGAGCACAAGGTAATGACCGTCGACCGTGTAGCTCAGGAATAAGGTTCGCGGTTCGAGCCCTGACAGAGACACAAAAAGTACGCACTGCTGACGAGTCCCAAACAGAATGAAACAGCTGTCCAGTGTTCCTTGTCGGTTGCCACAAACATTTCCACCGCATTTGAATTGCATTTCGCCCGTTCAGGTTTCTCCCCCCCAGGTTGACAGCGATTTGACCAAGTATCCACGAACATTGTCTGAAAAGCTTCGCGCAAGATTTCACACCATGTAGACTCTCGCAACACACAACTAAGGCATACGTGGACTAACGAACTTTGTATTTTTAAACAATCAAAAGCAGGGCCAATCTATCATGGCGAGACTCCACCTCAACGAGGTGTAATGGCTAGCGAGTTATGGTGTGCGAGCTATACAGGACGGCTCCTCAAAGGAAGGTCCAATCATAACTGAAAGGTCAGTCTGCAAGGTACAAACAAAGCTCAGTCCCAAAAGACCGGTTGATTGGGCACCTAGATTTCTCTGAGTATCTATTCTCGCCCCTGGAGAGGGTACTGCGCGGTGGTGGCGCAGTGGTTTATTCGCTATCACCAGCGCGCTTTGGACCCTATGATCCGAGGTTTAAGCCCCGCAACCACCACCCGACCTAGGTGGTAGGCATATCTGCTATCATCCGGTTTAATACCATGCCTAACCTAGCGGGGCCTTATGCGATTCGCGACTCCAAGTCTCGGGGCTTAGGTTTCCGATTTCTCCCATTGAGCAGTAGGTCCTCGTGACTATGGGGTTCGCCCCCTCTGCTGTTCATCACACTTAGGTGTGTAATAAAAAAAATAATAAACATGGGAGGAGCATTACACTGGTAAAACTGCTAAATTGCAGGGGTACCTGGGGCTTCCTGACGAAGACGAGAGGTCTTCATACTTAATTATAAAGACCACACACGCTCAAACTGGGCACACTCAGCAAACGAGATGCTGTCCCGCCCACATATCACCTGTCTTACTGAGCTTGAGACCAGGTGCCGATCCCCAACGGCAAACAATAGAATGAAAGTAAAACCGAAAGCCTGGTGTGATATGCCTCTAGTAGTTTTCATACGAGTGCTGCGGTCACCCCTCTCCCTCTCCCTATCGTTGAATCTACGAGCCCATCGCTTTGTGGTTAAGAGTTCCCTTCCTAATACAAATCACTGTGCGGTGAAAACTACAGGTGTACCTCATAATCACAAGGACATATTGTTCAATGGTCACCATCACCATCGTACAGCGAAAATCAGTGAAACGAACTTTACTGGTCACTGCCAAACTCATATTGCACACAATGGAAATGGAAATGTGTAAGGAGGATAGGGTTTGGGCCTATTTACGGGGATTAAAGCGAACCTCTTCGGCCAAAACAGTATCCTAATCGGATAAGAAGTGACAACAAGAACGCCACTGCTGTCGATTTGTTGCCATGACCTTCAATGTCTCCAACAATCCAGTTACGGAGGTTTTGGACTCCAATTTAGATGAGAGACATACTGTACCTAATAGTCCTGCGCATTCCTGCACGCCTCGTCTCCACATCATCTGTTAACCTCCGCGTGGTTTTACCTAATCTGGAAGGGTCACTATAATTAAGGCGGAGGGGAGATAGGCGACCGTTGGACATGCATAAAACGTGCCCTAACCAGCGGAGCCCACTGAGATGAACTTGATGCGACGGCGAGTCCTTTCTCAATGCACTCCGAAACACCCGAAGACTTACACCTAGATTACTAACCCGGCCACTCCATCCCACCCGGGACAGACTACGTGAGCATCGATCGTCAAAACACCCGGGGTGATGGATGTATTCTTTCCGCAAATGAAAGGTCCCACAACTACAGACAGAAGTGGAACATATGCGACTTTTCAACTTCAGTGAAACATCGCGTCCACACCACAGATGCTTTAGTCCTGCGTACGATGCTCGAGCCTTGGAAATGCGCGCGATTATCTCCTCTGATGAGCTACCGCTGTTGTTTACGCAACTACCCAAGTGCAACAAGCAGTCAACTCCAGCGATTAGCGATTCAGTCTCTACAGATATCTCACGACATACAAACGAACCGGGGCTATAACCGGGTAGGTGAACCATTGGCAGTTCACCTTAAGGAGTTGGCTAAAAACCCTGGTTTCAAACCAACCATGAGGAAGCGTACGAGACACTCACCCACACCGCGGTTGTAGCAGTGGTCACCGGCTCAATTGGGCATCGAAGTCTGTGGGCACCTCGGACGTTTGACCCCGTCCAAAGGGTGTATGATCCGATGGAGTGGACACCGGCTCAAATGGATTGCGGTTTTCATACACTACCCCGCTGCCTTGTGTGTCAGACTTCGGTTAGTCAAAGGCTCCGGTTTTGAACTCCCTAAGAAAATTCACCTGCTTTGGTCCGGACAACTTAACAGTATCGCGCCCTTGAGGTAATTATGGACCTTTTTCTCTTTAAAAAGATTATTGCACTGTGATTTTGTGGCACAGAGGTTTGAACCCAGAAGTATGAGAAATATATAAATATGAAAAGATAAATTAACTGTAAACTTACTGTTAGATTCTTGCTGAGTTTGGAGTCCACATCTAGACGCACTAGGATCGGATCACAGAGACCAGCGCGAGCAAATTCAACTAAATTTCCTGGTAGCGTCGCGGAGAATATAAGTGTTTGACGATCGCGAGGTAAACGATTCAGCGTTTCTGTGAGCTGTTCCGCAAATCCAAGCTCGAACAATCTGTAATGAACCAACCATCAAGATCAGTTAACTTTGCTTCACGGTGCAAGCCTATGAGATAAAACACTGACAAACAGAGACGATTGTTTTGAAACAATCAGCGTTGAAGGCTCAGTAACCAACATATGAATAAATGCAATCATGAGAGCAACCATAGACGGAAAGGACTGGTTTCGTTTTATGTTGAATTGAACAGCGCTTGCCGGAAGTTGAAATTTCGCACACTCACCGATCTCCTTCGTCAAACACCACGTATTGGATTGTTTTCATATTGAAGTTCATTTCCATCACCACATGCAAAAGTCGTCCAGGAGTGGCTACGATTCTACATGGCGAATAACAATTACGAAACCTCCTTACATATCGGGTCCGGCGTGCAAGGCAGCAAATTGTTCATCCATCCTGTTGATCGTGAAACATTTAAAAAGATTTCTTACTTGTCGCCACCGAGGATAACCGCGGCACACAATCCAGTAAATTTACCCAGCTGCAACGAAAACAAAAAACAGTTTTTTCATCAGGAATGCAGCAAACCTCCTTGGTAAACTTCAATGTCTGAAGAGCCAACTCTCTCGTCGGACTAATAATAAGAGCACGGGGTCCTGTTGCCATATGAGCCTGTAATTTCTCAAAAAGCGGAAGCAGAAACGCAGCCGTTTTCCCGCTGCCCGTCCGTGCCATGGCGACAATATCTCTACCGGAAAGTATGATTGGGATAGTCTTTAAAAGTTAGTGCCAAACAGCATTTATACTTTTCTTTGAATAGGAGTTGGAATTTTATATCCTTTCTTTGTGAGTCCTTTGAAAACGGCGTGGCTCAGACCCATTGCTTGAAATCCACCAGCTTTTCTTTTCTTCCGATTCATCGAAGCAACAAGCTTTCGAGATTCCAGCACTCCGAAATCATCATCGGTATCTTGGTCGCTCCCCATCGATCATTAACTGTGGGAAGATTTAGAGGTCCTACTGCAATATGCCTGTGTTCGTGTTTGGCAGGATGTCCCCCGGTGAGCGGATGCACTAGACAACTGTATGTGGGCTGAGCCCCGTGCGGACTGGAACTGTCGACAAAGAGGATATGCTCCGCGGGGAGGGTTAAGGGACAATCTGCAAGAGAGGAAAATACAAACAAAATGAACCAAAAGATACAGGGAGAAATGGACACGACTTAAACACACCTAAACTGAATGGAATATCTTCAATGATGATATATTAGGTAACTAGGGAGTTCATTGTTCTTGGGGGTTCGAACTGCCAGCCACCAGCTGGGTGGCTGGAAGCCAGCCCAGAGTATCCATGGGGAGGCATTCCTACAGTGGGCTGGTTAAGCATGTTACGAAGCCTACATGACACCAAGAAGGA